TCATGGCTGACACACGGAAATCGAAATAGGCCTGAAGTTTTAAAATATGGATAAAGCAGAATAATAACAGAGTGAGAAAATTTATGGGTTGAAACCTGGAATGGAAGGCTTGGGAAAGGTATAGTGAGCCCTCTTTCTGGAGGGGATGAAGGTGGTGGTGAAGGGAATGCGACATTATTGCCAAAGGGATATTAAGTTTCTGTCTGCTGTTGTTGTTAAGTGTCGTTGAGTTGGTTCTGACTCCCAGAGACCCTGTATATGGTTTCCGAGAAGGTGGGTCTGAATCTATATATATATATATAGCTACGAGGAGTTCTGGTGCAGTGGTGTCGGTTAATGTGCTGGACTGCAAGATCACTTTGAACCACATGATCAGTGGTTCAAGCTCCTCAGAAACCCTATACATGCAGTGTCCTATGACCTGGAACCAACTGGACAGCACTTAAAAGCAGCAGCAACATCAAAGTGGCTTTGACGGGATTCCAACACATAGCGACCCTGTATAGGGTATCTGAGACTTTAAAAAAATCTGTGTGGAACAGAAGGACTCATTTTTGTCCCGGAGAGCAGCTGGCAGGCTTGAGCAGCAGACCTTATGGTTCGCAGTCCAGTGCTTATCATATGGAGCCACCGTGCTCATATATTTATTTATTTATTGAACTGTTCCTAACTTTGTGTTATGAAAACTTCCTGGCACACAGAAAAGTTCAAAAACAGAATAATGAAGACTTGATACAAAATACAATAGACTTCCCTATCCAGATTGAGGAGTCATGGTGTGGTGCTGTGGGTTAATGTGCTGGACTGCACAGTCGACTAAACCACAAGGTTGGTGATTCAAGCTCACCACCTGCTCCTTGGAAACTCTATACAGGGTTACTATGGGCCAGAACTGACTCAACGGTACTTAGCAACAACAACAAAAATCTAGACTGAAAATTGCTTATATTTTTTCCTATTAGTTGTATTTGTATACATTAAAGTAAATATTATTTCTGTAACATTTGATAGTAAATTACAGTTTCATGTGTAACCACAATACCAGTATCACATCTAAATTAATAACAATTCTATTACATCATCTAATATTAAATCTAGAGTCCTGGTATAGCACTGCAGGATAATGCACTGGGCCGCAAGTCAGTTTGAACCACAAGATCAGTTGGTTCAGACACATTAGCGGATCGTCTGAAATCCTATACAGGGTTACTATGGGTCGGAACCAACTTGACAGCATTTAACAACAACAACATTAAATCTACATTCAATTTGCCCAGTTGGCCTAAGAGTATCTTTTAACAGTTTTTGAACCAGGATTCAACCAAGGTTCACACATTGTATTTAGGTCAATATCTCTTTAATTTAGAACATCCACCCCCATAACACATACACACTTTTTCCAGGATGACTTTTAATGTCTTAACTATTTTTGTTTTATTGTGGTAAAATACATGTTGAAAAAAAAATCTGCCTTTTCAGCCATTTTAAGTGTACGATTCAGTGACCTTATATTCACCATGTTGTTCTAATTTCTACACATCCTCTACTAGTATTTGTTGTCTTCTATTTTTCTGGTAGCCATTCTAGTGGGTGTGAGGATCCCATGAGTAGTGTAAATGGTTAATGCTCATGACGGTTAACCAAAAGATTGGTGGTTCAAGTCCACCCAGAGATACCTCAAAGAAAGATAACTGGCAATCTACTTACAAAAAAATCAGCCCTTGAAGACCCTATGGTGCATAGTTCCACTCTGTCACCTATGGGCTTCTGTGGGCCAGAATCAACTCAATGGTGACAGGTGTCTTTACATCTAACACTACAACTATCATTTTGCTTATGAGTCTTGTAGTTCTATCAGTTTTTGCTTTTCACATTTTGAGATTATGTTACGAAACACACAAATGTATTTAGTAAGGTTTGCTTTTCCTAGTAGGTTAATTCTTACCAATATGAAATATCCTTGTCAAGTATTTTTGAAGTTTACTTTGCCCAATTATCTACACTAGCTTTCTTAATCCAGCCATTTAGTTTTCAATTTTTTGGTATCCTTATATTTTAGACTTAACTTTGTACAAGCAACAAATAGTTGGGTTCTCAAAACTCATTGCTAGATGTACTTTATTTCTTTATAGGTGGTCTACTTTTTGTCTTTGGAAACTTTTATACATTTTTTAAAAAAAATCACTATTATTATCACTGAAAGTCTACGGAAGTCCTGGTGTGGCACTGTGGGTTAATGTGTCAGATTGAAGGTCCAGCCATTCCTTGGAAACCCTATACAGGGTCACTATGTGCTGTTGAATTGGATCCGACTCATAGCAACCCTGTATCAGGTTTTCAAGGCTGTAAATCTCTATAGAAGCAGAAAGCCTCATTTTTCTCCCATGAACCAAGTGGTAGATTCAAACTGCTGACCTTGTGGTTAGTAGCCCAGCATGTAACCCACTATATTCCAGGGCTCCTTCACTGTAAGTCTAAGGGTAGGTTTTACCTTCTTTCCTCTACTGTACAGCTTACAAGCCTTTTCAGTCTAAGGTCTTCCATTAGTCTTTAATTCTAAGAATTTTACTGTAATTGTTTCTCCAAATAGTTTCTCCTCCCTTTTGTTCTCTCCTCTAGGAGTTCTATTTATCTGGAGAGGGGCCTTTCTACATCTAACTTTCTTACCTTCAGGTGTTTATTCTATGCAATCTCTCTTCTTACCATTTACTTCTGCCTTCACAGAGTTCCTCAATCTCATTTCCAACTCAACAATTTGTTCACCAGCTACACATCTCCAACTATCACACAATCTTCTGCATTCTTTATTTCAAAGACCAGGCTTTAAAGTAGACTAATTTTTGCTTTTCAGACCTAACATTTTCACTTGGCTCTATGTTTTCTATGCTTCCTTATTCTTGTGCAACATTGCTGTACCTTCCCTTTATCTCCTGAAATGTATTTATCATACTTACTTTTAATTTTTGGTCAATTTTTACCAATAATTCTGTTGTTGTTAGGTACCATTGAGTCAGTACCGACCCATAGTGACCCTATGCACAGCAGAACGAAACACTGCCCGATCCTGGGCCAATCTCACTACTGTTGCCACACTTGAGTCCATCGATGCTGCCACTTGGTCAATCCATCTCATTGGGGGTCTTCCTCATTTTCTCTGATCCTCCACCTTACCAAACACAGTATCATTCCCCAGTGACTGGTCCCTCCTGACAATACGTCCAAAGTATGAGAGACGAAGTTTGGCCATCTTGGCCTCCAAGGAGCACTCTGGAATGACTTCTTCCAAAACAGATCTATTGGTTCTTTTGGCAGCCCATGGCACTTTTAATATTCTCCTCCAACACTATAACTCAAAAGCAGCAATTCTTCTACGGTCTTCCTTATTCACTGTCCAGCTTTCATATGCATATGAGGTTATTGAAAATACCACGGCTTGGTCAGGTGCACCTTAGTCCTCAAGCTGGCATCTTTGCTCTTCAACACTTTAAAAAGGTCTTGTGAAGATTTGACTAATGCAATATATCATTTAATTTCTTGACTGCAGTTTCCATGAGTGTTGATAGCTGATGCAAGAAAAATTAAGTCCTTGACAACTTTAATCTTTTCTCCATTGATAAGAATGCTGTTTATTGGTCCAGTGGTGAGGATTTTTGTTTCCTTTACATTGAGATATAATCCAAACCAAAGTCTGTGTGCTCTTTGATCTTCATCAGTAAATGTTTTAAGCCCTCTTCACTTTCAGCAAGCAAGGTTGTATCATCTGCATATCACAAGTTATTAATGAGTCTTCCTACAATCCTGATGCCACATTTTTCTTCATATAACCCAGCTTCCCAGATTATCTGCTCAGCATACAGGTTGAATAAGTATGATGAAAGAATACAACCTTGTTGCACACTTTTAATTTTCAAAACATTCTCTGTTAGATGATATATATTATTAACTCAGCTGTCTTTCTTTTATAGCTGTGCTACACAGGTAGCTAATATGGCTGTGAACTAATGTTCCCCTGGGGTTACAGCCAACATATCTGGTAAAATGTATGGGGAAAGGGTTAAAGGCCAGGCCCTAACTCTATTCAACCAGGTGAACTTAAGGAACGGGGAGGGTTTCAGCCGCAGGAATCTCAGCACCAATCTTGATCACTACAATTAACAGGCCAACCTACCACCAACTCCTCTGGTCAGTGTTTCACATTTAAATTGTTACGGAGAAACAGCACAGGGAATAACAGTATGAAGTCTACCAATCAGCTAGAGTAGATGAAGTGGGCATTCTGAAGACATGCAAGCACATTAGAGCTTACCAATGTCCCAAATCACACCCTTCTTGCACACTGCTTCCTCATACTACTACCACTACTAATAAAAATAACAACAACTAATCTTAGTCTAGTTACTAATCCTGGGGACTTAACAAGTACCAGTGTGGTGGTGGTGGTTATGTGCCGTGGAATTGGTTCCAACTCATAGCAACCCTGTATAGAGTTTCCAAGGCTATAAATCTTTACAGGAGCAGAAAGTCTCATCTTTCTCCTGTGGAACCACTGGTAGTTTCGAACTGCTGATCATGAGATTAGCAGCCCAATTCATAACGACTGAGCTATCCTTAATCTTCAAACAATTTTAAGAGGTGAGAAGTCTCCGCATCTCCATTGTTCAGATGAGAAGAATGAAGGCTTCAGAAAGGTTAAGAGAATTTCTTTGTTATGTATTGCTGGTAAGTACAATGAAGTTGGTTCCAGCTCACAACAGGGTTTCCAAGGAGCAGCTGGTAAGTTTAAACTGCAACTGAGTTTTATACGCATGCATTGACCTTGCAGCTCAATAGCTAGGAATATATAGTTATATGGCCAGAATCAGGCAGTCTATTCTAAAGCTCAGGCTTTTCAATACTATGAACTACTTACTACTTTGCCCACATGCAAACCCAGAAGAAATGGAAGATTTTAAAATAAATGTATACACATACATACATACATACAATCAATATTTACATACCTTGTACTGTAAGCTCTGCTTGAGCTTCGATTGTCTCATTTCCATTATCAGCTATACAAAAATAAGTCCCAGCATCATCCTCATTGACATCGCTGATGTCCAGGCTTCCCCCTGCCAGCAATATCAATCTTTCAGAGCTGCATTAAAACAACAGTGATACATTTTAGTACTTGGAAAATAATGCCTGAGAAACTTTCCTCATAAAATAGAGAAGACAAATAGCGTTACAATTATTCATATGGCAACAGACTGACAAACTCTCACATAAAATTGCCTGAATTTAATTGAATCCAATTTGTTTTGCTCCTATTTTACAAGCATGCATGCCACAAATAAAAAACAAAATGGTACAGTGAGTTAACATAGACATTTCAAGTTACTCCCAAAGGTATATCATTTTTGTGACAAATTCCATTACCACCTCCATTCCTCTTCTTACTACTTGATGGCACTTAACAACAACCAAACTCCAGTGAAGGTAAGAGGAGTGATTTATTTACTCATCCACTCAAACATTTATTTGAATGCAAATTTTGTGCAAGGTAGTAGCTAGGGACATAGTAGTGAGCAAAAAAAAGTACACTCAGTGTTCATGTAGAATTCAGTGGAAACAAGAGGCATAAAAGACAATTCGACAATGCAGTATAGCAAAAGAGCCTGCCAAGAAATTAAGGATGAGTAGAGTTTTTCCTGATAAAGTATCCCCAGAGTTAAGATCTGACGAATGAGAAGTATGGAAAAAGAAAAATTTCAGAAAGAAAAGACTATCAAAGGAATGCAAGAGGAATCCTGGCAAGAAGGACCACAGTGTTCTTGATGATGTGAGAAAAACTAGTAGGGAAAAGTGTGAGAAAACAGGAAAAGATGAGGCAGGACCCAGATCACACAAAGCTTTGAAAGTCATTTGAAGAATTTGAATCCTTAAGCATATAGGACCTTAGGTGGAATCCTGAGCCCCATCCAGAACCTTCTGAGGCGGGACATTCCCACTAGAAAGGACAAGCAGAGCAGCCTGGAACAGCTAGAGCAATAGAAGACACTTCTGGAAAGAAAGATCAACAAGAAAAATCCAAAACAAAAATGACAGTCTGATTGGCTGCAACAAGTACAATCAAGTTGTTGGCCGGGGAGCCATTAAGGCAAGCAATCAAGCCCCTTCAGGACAAACCCCCCTCCAAGACTGAAACTCAGAGGGAACACATGAATAGGCATCTAAGATTGCTGGCGACCATGTTGGTCTACTAGTGAGTGGAAGACGGGAAAACGCAGCAATGAAGAAATGGGCTAAGTTAAAACACGTTCCATAGATGCCGTTGACCTAGAGATGAGAAAGAGAAGAGGA